TCCTTTTCTTGACATTGAATTCTATCTGAGCTCTGGATTCTATTTATTTCCTCTACATAAGAGCTTTGCTCCCTCAGTTATGCCTTCTTTTTCTTGTTTTGTCAGCTTAACTTCTCCCCTAGATGGTTCTTACCACACATAAATATGTTCAAGTATCTCTCATCCTAAAAAGCATGCCTCCCCAGTCCTCATCTCTGCCCACCCATACCCCAGTCTTTTTATCATTCCCATCTCTCTGCTCTCCTTTGAAGACAAGACTTCTCTAGGGAAAAGTAATGGTAGGAGTGTGCAGGAGAGAGAGAGAGAGAGAGAGAGAGTGTGTGTGTGTGTGTGTGTGTGCAGTTCTCCAATCAGCACTCTTTCTGTGATGTGGAAAATGCTTTGTATCTTCACTGTTCAGTAGCCACTAGCCATGTGTGGATATTGAATATTGAAAACTTGAAATACAGCTAATGTAAAGAGCCAAAGTTTTAATTTTGTATTACATGTAAATAACCACATGTGGCTAATGACTACAGCACAGTACAACTTCAGTAAAAGAACCTGGACTCCTTTTTATTTTTATTTTATTTTATTTTTTTTTTGAGACGGAGTTTCGCTCTTGTTACCCAGGCTGGAGTGTAATGGTGCGATCTCGGCTTACCGCAACCTCCGCCTCCTGGGTTTAGGCAATTCTCCTGCCTCAGCCTCCTGAGTAGCTGGGATTACAGGCACGAGCCACCACGCCCAGCTAGTTTTTTGTATTTTTAGTAGAGACGGGGTTTCACCATGTTGACCAGGATGGTCTCGATCTCTCGACCTCGTGATCCACCCGCCTCGGCCTCCCAAAGTGCTGGGATTACAGGCTTGAGCCACTGCGCCCGGCCTGGACTCCTTTTTAAAAAGCAGTAGCTTACTTTAGGATTTGGGCAGGAAAAATATGAGTCTGGAGTATCGTGTGGGCTCAAGTAAGAAAGTGCTAAAAAATAATGGGGTATGTAAAAAGGACATTGAAGCCAACATAAAGGGACTTCAGATTACCAAATCTGGAAAAATTTGAGTTTCAGAATAAATAATAATAGTGGGTTAAAACTTATAGAATAAAATAAATATTCACATGCCAATACTGATACAAATAATATTCACATGCCAATACTGATACAAATAAACAATCAAAAACTGAAATACTTGGTAGGGAGAAAGGACTGCTTTTTCCTAAATTCTAGTTAATGAATGTAGGAGGGATGAAGGAAATTAAAATCAACATTGGCAAAATCACTATAATAAGTGAGTGAGAGCACAATTCAACAAATCATCTATGGATGCTAAGTAAGTGAGCATAAGTATGATGACAAACAGCATTTTTACATAGTCTCAAAGAATCTCCCCACAAGATATCTGATAGATGCCAACTTAATTGAGTGATCAAAGTTAATATCAACAGTCATGAGACATCCAGTACTTCCCGATAGGATGCATTGAGGAGGACACTAAGATACATAACCTCAACGTAATCATGAGTAAACATCATACAAACTCAGATTCAGGAGTACACTACAAAATAACTGGCCAGTACTGGCAAGGTCATAAAGCAAAGAAGAAAAACTTAATGAAATGTCTCAGGATGGAGAGGAATAAGAAGACACAGCAACTGAATGCAGTATGGGATCCCATATTGTGTCCTAGATCAAAAAAGGTCATTGGTGAAATTTTAGTAAGGGCTACAAATATCAGTAATTCTGCTATGGTAATCCAAAATGTTAACATTGGTTGATAAGTATACCGAAACACTATTTTAACAGCTTTTTCTTAATACCTGGAATTATTTCAAAATAGGAGTTTTTTGTTTTTTGTTTTTTAATTGCCTGTACTTGTGCATTCAACCCAGGTCTGTTTTCTGAGTTTCAGATTATTATGTCTATCTTAATATATCACATTGCAAACTTAATACATTTAAAACTGAAGTATTGATTCTCATGTCTATCCAACTTCTCCCCCAAAGTCTTAGCAAATGTTTAATTCCACTCAGTGTGTTTTTCATTTCTAGGCTTTTCCATTTTTATTGTCTTCTGTGTCTGTATGGAATATATGGACTTTTAAATGTCTTTGACTACTAATTCTATCTTTTTGGTCATTTCCGATTCTGCTTCTATTGATTTTTCTTTTCATTATAGATTATAATTTCTTGGTTCCTTGCATTCCTGGTTATTTTTTGTTGCATGCCAGACATTGTGAAGTTGCTGGATATTTTTATATTTCTATGAATATACTTGAGCTTTGTTCAGGACTTGGTTAAGTTACTTACAGTTTGATCCTTTCGTGGTTTGCTTTTAACTTTTGTAAAACAGACAAGCACAGCCTTTACTGGAGGGCTTATATTTTCCTACTATTAAGGCAATACCCATGAATTACCAGGATTTCTACTGTAGTTGATGGTACCTCTTGCTAGCCATGTGTGGGCTTTAGGAACTCTTCCCTCTATTCTTTTCAAATGGTTCTTTCCCTAGCCTCAGATAATTTATGCACACACACACACACACACACACACACTCTCACACACTCTCTCTCACACACGTATCAGTACTCAGCTGAAAACTCCGTGGAGATTCTTGTAGCTCTCTGGAGGTTTTTCTTTCTCTGTGCAACTTTCTTCCCTTCAGTACTCTGCCCTGGGAACTCTAGTCACTTTGACCTCCCCCTGCTGACAGCTTTGTCTCCTCTTCTCAGAGACAACACTTAGCCGTACGCTGGGGCAGTTTGGAGGGCTAACCTGTCCTTCACTGCTGATTTTGTCCGACTTTTTAGTCGTTTCGAGTGGAGAGTAAATCTAGGTCCTGTTACTCCATCTTACCTGGATGTAGATTTTCTTTTAGTTTTAACATTTTCTTTTAGTTTTAAAAAAAATCCAAGGAGAATAGATCAGTCTTATTTTAAACTATTTATAATACTTATTTACCTTTGTAATTTTTAGATACTGTATTAATGTAAGTGCTTTATATGTCACATATAAATAAAATATAAAATTCTGTATATTGAGGTTATTTTCAATATTTGTTTTCTGCCCATCCATGATTTATGATATGAAATTGCTTGACTTACAGATTCGAAGAACAGTGCCATCCTAGGTAATTAGAAAAATAATATTTCCAAATATAGTGATGAATAAAATAACCTATATTTATTAATATTACTTAAGTTTGGCAGAAAACCCAATTTTTAACTGTTTTATACTTAAAAATTAAGAGTGCTGAAGATTTCTGTAGGGTGACACTTTTAGTTTATTGGCATCCTTGTTTTGGTTTGTGGGTATTCTAATCCTTTCATAAATTTTTGTATACTTATAGGTCAGTACTGCATTTTTTTTGTTTTTTAACATCTCATAAAATAGAAAATTGGATTTCTATAATTAAGGTTTCTCATAATTGGTGTTTATATGAGACAAATATGGTATTACAAGGAGAATAATACTGTATTTGGGGGCACAGTGGAAATGTAGAAGGGCACTAGACTTTAGTAACTGAATGAAAAGGTAGAAGTTGAGTCTTGGCCAGCTTCTTACCAGTTGTACTACTCTTTGAGCCTTACATTTTAACTTTGTCACATAACCTCCTTGATCCTTACTTCTTTTAAATGACGTTAATACTCTTCACAAAGGCAGTTGTGAGAATTAGGTGTATTTTGTGAAGGTGCATAGTAAACTGCAAATCCTTTGTAAAAATCAGGAAACAGTTTGAGGTTTAGCCTGAGAAGTATAAGTTTTAAACAGTATTATACAGTGGGAACATCTGACTATATCTGAGCCCAATATTAAAAACCAGAATTATTATCTTGGCTTCTATTTTCTTTGGTTAGTTTCAAAAATTTTTAAATTTATTTTTTCATGCCCAGCTTAGTAGAAGTGAGTCATATTATCATTTCTCTCTTTACTCGGCAGTATACCAATAGCACTTCACCCACATATGTGACCTGTGGGTTGTGGAGAGAAATAAGGATGTTACTCAACAGCTTGCATCTTTCAACAAAAAATACTTTTCAACAACACTCATGAGTTTCTTTTAGTCATTAGACAATGCAGACCCTTAAACATTAAGCTAAACTCATAAACTCAGTAATATTTAGTGAGAAATTTGGAGCAACAAATTGTTAAAGTTAACTTCTGTGTTCTCTGTAAATACCAACAACTGTGAGCCATGGAGTACATTAGATGACCTTGGTTTTTATGGTCTAAAACATTTTCTACAGAATGGTGCATAAGCTGTTACTGGAATTGGAATAAAAGGCTACAGAATTGTGTGAGGCTTGCTGTATATTTATGAATCAGATTTTTTTAAGTGGAAGCCACAGTTGTTTCCTTGTTTGTCATTCATGCTTTAGCAGAGGATATGATGCCATAGAGCTGGCTTGGTTTGTAAGTTCTCATTTAGGGTTTGCACCGCTTTCTTTTCCTTTTTAGAGGCCACAGCAGTTTTGATGTCTTATCAAACCACAAAATGTACCTCGTTGGGTATTTAGCAGAGGAAATGTGTTGACTGTTAAACATCCCTTATCTACAGTGCTTGAGACTAGAAATGTTTTGAAGTTCTTATTCTTTTTCTTTTTTGCTGGTCTGGATTTTGAAATACTTGATTTTGCATTATGTATATTTGCCCATTAAGCATCCCAAATCCCAAAACCTTAAATTTGAAATGCTCCAATGAGCATTTCCTTTGAGCATCATGTTGGTACTCAGAAAGTTTTGAATTTTAGAGGAGTTTGGATTTTTAAATTTGGAATGTTCAGCATGTATTTGATAGTTTCAGTAATGATTGTGACATTCCTGTTTAGTTCAATTTTGAAAATATAGCATAAATTTTAAAATGCATATCTACATATGTATGGGGTAGCTAATGTGTAGCCATGCAACTGCAGACACGTGGAAAACAATTCTTAACCCTTTGAATGTATTACTTTGTGTTTAAAGATAATGTTTTATCTTGTTTAACTAGAATCTAATATGTTAAATCTCTTTTATTCTACTTTAGCATCAAGGCATGCCATGGGTTGCCTCTCATAAATGGCCAAAGCTGTGACCCTTATGCAACAGTTTCTCTAGTGGGCCCTTCTAGGTAATGTTTATTGAATTATTATTAGGTTTTCAAGTTTTAAAGTTTGATTTAAAATTTTAAAAAGTAAGGTTCTATGAGCAAATGATAGCTATTTATAACACAAAGAAATAAATACTTTGAAAGGAAAATTTTTAGTGAATTCTGTTATACGCTTATCAATAACAAAGGCTTCTTTTTACAGACAAAAACTGGCACTGTTTCAAGTCTGCCATACTCTAAGGCTATAGGGAACAACCTTAGTTCTATACTATTACAGTGTAGTACTTTAAAACATAAACTTGATTTCGTGCGTCAGCATTCCTACTTTTAAGTATCCTGAATTGTATGATGTAAAATTTTAATGAATGCCAGTTCAGATTAACAAGACAGTTTCTGTATTTTTATCTGGAAGGCAGCTCCAGATTGCCTTTTCTACTCAGGAGATCTGTCCTCTACAGAGAGAATTCCAACAGTAGAAAAACTGCGGAAGTGCTAGAGCATGACAAAGTATACCATATCATTGATTTAAATGATTTATGATAATTTGTGAAAAAACCCATAGCATTTTGTAATATTGTGTGTTATTATGACTTCATTATGGTTTATTTAAGGAACAGACAAATCTGAAATACGTCTACAATTTGAAGGTTTAGAATCAGGAAACAAGAGGCACAGTAGACACATACATGCATACATACACACCCTTTTCCCCATCTCCAGAATCTCTAGTTATTCTTAATTTGTACAAAATCACTACTAAATCACTTCGAAAAATGTATTTATGTATGTATGTAAAGTACCTAGTACCATGCCTGGTATTTATTAGGTGCTCAAACAATGGTATGCTGTTTAGCAGATAATCAGTCTTATGACATTAAATGCTATTAGATTTATTTTTGCATGTTAAACATGTTCAATCTAGTAGAGCTATTTTTTGTTTTTTGTTTTTTTAATAATCTGTACCTGACAAATTCTTTAGTTTGTTTGGTAACATACAGTTAGAAACAATGTTTTCTAAACAATGTTTCTATGTTTCTGACATACAGTTAGAAACAATTTGGCATATGAATTTATGTTTTCAAAAGTTATTGTTGGTTTTGCTATTGTACTGTAGTTCTGTAAGATGCTAACACTGGGGGAGGCTGGGTAAAGACACAAGATTTCCCTCTACATTTTTTGTAACCTCTGAATCTATAATTAAATTAAAATTAAAAGGTTTTTTAAAAAGTCTCTATGATACCTGAAGCCCAAGAAGTAAGCTGAGTTAAGAATGTTTTTCAAGTTCCTCAGGTATTTTTCAACATAGATGAAGGTACTCTAAATCTTATTGTTTTCCTTCTGTTTATTCTGAGTTGCTTACAGAATAGAATGTGTTTTTAAAACTCTTCAAAAAGGTTGGGCAATCTAGTATGTCCGTAAGATGCATAAAGCTTATATATTCTTTGATTTGAGTTTGTAAGGGCACTTAATTTTTTCCAAGTAATATTTAAAACTGAATCTTCCTGAGTCACTTTAACTTTTAAATGGAGGTCAGACTCCCTGGTTGGAAATAGCATGTTTTATAATTGTGTACTGTTAAGTTCTACAAGGTAAAACTCTACCACATTGGAACAGGAATGACCAAAAGAAGACAAAAGTAAAGAAGAAAACAAGCAATCCACAGTTTAATGAAATCTTTTATTTTGAGGTAATTTTTTGTTTTATGTAAATATTAACATTAAATATGTAATATTTAATGCTAGTTGATTTCTTTTTTCAAACTCCGGTCATAGTAATCATTTTCTCAATTAACACAGATAAGCATTTCTCTCCTGAAAGCAGTAGAACCATGGTGTGATGCAGTGGAGGCCCAATATATAAAATGAGTAAAGGCAAAGCTCTAATTTGGGACAGGAAGGGCCAGGGCCATACCCACTTCGCAGTCATCCTCACTATCATGCTCTCCTTTGCACTCTCCCTTACCCTATCCAGTCCCCTACCTGACACATAGTGGCCACAGGACTCTTCTGCAGGGTACCCTTTGAAAATCACTGGTGATGTAAGTATAATTATTGCTCAGTAAATCTCAGTTCTAGTCGACACCGAAAGAGTCACTAAATGTGACTCAAGTTTCTTATCTTTAAAAGAATTAATTGGAAGGGAAAACAGCAGCACTACCTAACTCACAGCATTTTTATAAGACCCAAAGCACGTGAGAATCCTTTGAGACTATAAAATACTAGATGAGTAGAGCCTTATTATTACTTTTTTTTTTTTAGCCTAATTCATTCTATGGACACCTGCTTATCTTCATAGAGAGCTTCAGCTGCTTTGAAGTTGTCCTGTGTACAGTGCTTTGGACTGCTTTTCTTTGGAGATTTTGTTAAATCCTTATTCATATTATTTGCAAACTATAGAAAAAAAATGAAAGTCTCTAAAAGATCATATTCTAATAAAGTGTGTTGCAGTTTATATCAATGTGTAGGGAAGGTTTGAAAAAAGGAGTTACGTTTTGTACTTTTTCTTCTGTGTGTGTATTTTTCTTGGTGTTTCAAAGTGGAGAGAGTGAGGGTACCTCTAGTCATACCTGATTACTGTACTTTATTAAAGGAACAGACTGAAGAAAATGCCAACAGTGAAGTAGGAAGAATTGTGGAGGTGGAAGCAAGGGAAAAAAATAAAGAAAAAATACAAGTATGAGACTTTTCCATTTCCTGGCTAAGGACTTGGTGCAGTTCTACATTTATTAATGGTGGTTGCATCTAACCTGGAGAAAACAAAGAAGGCAGCAACGTAAAGGGCTGCTGACTAAAGGCACTCACACTCCACATTAGCCCATATATTTTAAACCTCAGCTGGATGGAATCTACTCTGTTTCATGGATCCTTACAGTCAACTGATGGCCCTTTAAAAGTAAAAGGCCTGACCTGCCTCCTGTAGCAGGAGTACTTGTTAGGCCTTGCAGCATTGGTTATAAAAATAGATAAGTTTCTATTTTGTTTTGTTGGTTATAAAAATAGATAAGTTTCCATCTCTTTTATCTAAAGCAAGGAACGCAAAGCAGACACATGTATGCATATACACAACAGTAAAATGGAGTCGATATTGGGGAGGTCAGATGTACTCTGCTTCATTAAAGGCTTGAAGAAAGATTGGATTTTCTAAGTTTGAGGAAAGAGTATTAGAGATGGTGAACATTTTGAGCAGAGGCACAGAGACAGAAAAGCAGAAAATTATGTCCAGAGAACAATGAGTACTGATTTTACTGGGCTTGTTTAAGGAAATAATGGAAACTAAGATTAGAAAGGTAGAGCAGGACCAGCTGATGAAAGGCCTTGAGTGTCTAGCCGTGGTGCTGAAGTGAGTGATTTTGAGCCTAGATAAACAAAGATGGGGAGACTGTTGTACTTTAGGTGTAAGAAAAAAGGGAAGGGGGATAGGGTGTTTTTCAAAAGAGCACTATGGAAATAGAGAGGAAGGGGCAGATGAAAAAGATAGTGCAAAGGGCAAGATAACAAATTGATTATAGAGAAAAAGAGGAAGAAGTTGAATGCTGCCCCCAAGGTCCTAAATCTAGAAAAATAGAAAAGTTAAGAGGGAAGAAAAATAAAAGTGGTTTAGTTTGGGACATAATTAGCTTGAGGGCTGACATTTTAAATCCTCTAGTAGGGAGTTCATGACTGCAACTTCAGATGAGTGATAGTTACTGATCAACACTCAAGGCTTGTTTATGAACAGTCAAGAAAGCTGAGAGAATAGAGATACACAATAAAGGAGAAAAGTGAAGAAACTAATTTCTGCTACTTAAGTATTCAACTTTGAGCATGTCATTTAATTTCTGTACTTCAGCTTCCTCATTTTGAAGATGAGGATAATAAATTTAGCCCTGCCTGCCTCTGAACAGCGTTCTGATGAACAAAGGAGATAATAGATGTGAAAGCACTTTGTAGACTGTACAGCACTATGCAGCTCCAAGTTGTTTTTAGAGCAAAATAAAACATAAAATTTGAAGAATAGTGTACTTGTAGATTCTGAGAAAGAAAGAAAGAGCAGCAGAAGGTTGCCAGGGTAGTGCTCAGATAAACTCTAAAGCAGGCGTCCCCAGACTTTTTATACAAGGGGCCAGTTCACTGTCCCTCAGACCGTTGGAGGGCCACCACATACTGTGCTCCTCTCACTGACCACCAGTGAAAGAGGTGCCCCTTCCTGAAGTGCGGCGGGGGGCCAGATAAATGGCCTCAGGGGGCAGCATGCGGCCCACTGGCCGTAGTTTGGGGACGCCTGCTCTAAAATGTGTTTCTTGGAAAAGAGATACAGTTGTATGATCACTAAATTAAATGGAAAATCAAGGGAGGTGAGAACTAAGAATTTATCATCAGATTTGATAATGAAGAGAACGATTTTAGGAGAGTGATCTGTGAGGAAGCCAAGATTATAAGGAGTTACTGTAGTGGTGGGTGGTGAGGAAGTATAAGCTGTAAGGGTGGATTACGGTTTTCAGATATTTGTCTGAGAAAGGAAAGAGATAGGAAGACCATAATTTACAGGGAGAATTTTTCTTAGACTTGAGTGAGATGAACAAGCTGGTATAGATAGCTGTAATTAAAATAGATCAAATAATGCTTACTGAATGCTTATTGCATACTCTGTGTGGGTGTCTAGTCTTAGAGGAAAATCATCTCATTCTCTTGTTGAGAAGAGGATGAGAAAAACTCATCAAGTAGAGAACCCTGTGTGGGAGTAGACAAGTTCAGGTGAACGGTCATTGGGGAAGTTCCTGCCAATGGCCTTGATACTATTAGCAAAAATGTGAGAAGGAGGTGCAAGGTAGGATTGGTATCTTGAGAAATGTGGGAAAGTCCTTAAAAACTCCTGAGTCACCAACGGACTACCTATGAGCCAGAGAATCTAATGGTACATTGATATATTGGTTTTATTTTATTCTGTTGTTAAAATAGAGACAGTCTTACTTTGTTGCCCAGGCTGGTCTTGAACTCCTGGCTTCAAGGAGTCCTCCCCTGCCTTGGCCTCCCAAAGTGCTGGAATTACAGGCATGAGCCACTGTACCTGGCCATTGTCATATATTGAGTTGATAGGAATGGCATGGAGACAAAGATTCTTGATTTTTTTTACACCACCTTATTCTTACTTTTCTGCTACTTCCATAGTTGCTTCTATATTCAGCTACTGGGTCAAATATTATTGGGCATTTTCCTCTGCTTTTATTCACAATTGAATATTTTGGAGATTATCATTTTTAAGTTGTAGGAAAAATGTATTTTAAAAAATTTTTTTTTACTAAAATATTTTATTTACAGGTAACCAGGTCCAGTAGTTACACCAGAAAGTCCCAGTTCCAGGTAGAAGAGGAGGACATTGAAAAGCTAGAAATCAGGTATGTGCCTTGGGGTTTTACAGAATTGCTTTTTTGTGTACCAGAAGAAAATCCTAAATTCAACTGAAAAAGGTTAATCAGCTTTAATAGAATTCTCTATAGCAAGTTGGTTGATGAAACTTACAGGAATAAGCATCTAATTTAAATCCAGATGATCTTTCCAAAATCTGATTTGTTTGCAGAAATATTCAAGTTGTATTTCTTATAAATAAAGATGATCTAGGTTTCATCTGTTTTATTGTATTTTTAATTTTTCCCAAATTTAATTGTTCCTTAAATTTCTGGACTGTAGTGTAATGGATGGAAAGGAAGTTATATCTCAGCCAATTTAGAAATAATTTTTTATTCTTCTTAACATATCTGCTGTCTAACAGAAATTTCAGTGAGGTAAGAAGGTTATTCAACAGGTGCATGTGTTTGAAGTTTGTGCTATTTCCTAGGTCTTAAATATCTATGCTCTTTGGAAAGGAAAAATCTTATAAATGCATGTGTAGGTGTGATGTTAACCGTGTGTTCATCTAGATGATATATTAATCATGTGTTTGGAGTGATCAGGTAATGTATTTTTCTGATTTTTCTCTCTCTATATATAAATTGGTTGTAATCTAGAGAGAAACCGTAGTCTTGGGTTGGTTTCTTTTCTCAAACTCAGTGAAGTAGCTCTGTAGTCCTTATTGCTATAGTTTAAAATAAAGCCTCAACTTTCAAACTAAGACACTTTTAAGTCCTTCTTTTAGACTATCTAAAATTACTTTTTGTGCTTTTTAAATAAAAGCTACTGTAGTATTTTGCTTCTCTAGTCTGGATAGTAAGGTATGTCTATGGTGTTGCTAACATCTTTTACTTTTAAGCATGTAAAATTAATGCTGTAATACAAATCAAAGTAATTTGAAGCTGTATTGTGATGTGCACTCTCTTAATTGTTTGCAAAACATAAAGTCACTTTTCAATTTTTAGGATCGACTTGTGGAACAATGGAAACCTGGTCCAAGATGTTTTCCTAGGTGAGATCAAGGTTCCTGTGAATGTATTAAGAACTGATTCCTCTCATCAAGCCTGGTAAGAGTTGAGCATTTTAGTGAACACCAAAGTTTAATTCTCTATAATATATTGTATACGCAAATAAATGCTTACTCTGAACATGCTTTAAATTTGTTATGGAATAGCCAAATGTCATTAATATCGATATGTTCATTAATTCATTGTTGAAGAAATACAAGTATATTGTAAGTTTTATGACTTGACCTGTGGTACTGAGATAAAAGAACTGAATCGTCTAGGAATATTTTTCTGCTTAAAAAGTGAAAACTTAACTCTTAAGGAGAAAATGGGAAACATTTAAAACATTATGTAAGAGTCGTTCATGTAAGAAAATGCTTTGTCACAAATCAGTATCTGCATTTCAGAAGTTTTATTAGTGATCATCAGAACTGTGGATGTTTGAAAGCAAAGGATGTTATTTAGGGGACTCAGTTATTTATGGAAACTAACCACTGTTTTTCCTTCACCGCACCCCCATTGAAATGCACTGTAGATTACTTTTTGAGTGTCTAAGGTCTAATTTTGTTGAGCTGGCACTTTTTATGGCTCCTGGTGTTCAATAATGACTACAATATTATTTTACTCTTTAATGACTAATAAAACTTTAAACTGATGTTAAATTAATGTTTAGACATTAAATTGAGCTAGTTTCCTTAGCAGAATCACTATGAAACTATTGTTTTTTTTTCTGTCTATAGTGCTTAAAAGCATGTGTATTCTTTCAGTAGGTTGTCCAGTATCTCTCTTGGTAGATTTGGGTTTCAACTGGATGTAAATGAACATGCCTTTCTCATTTGCCTTTTAAGGAGCACTTTCTGGAACTCAGTTTCTGCTGCCTGAAGAGGAGTGGTTAGGTGTTTCTTACGGGTATCAGTTTCATTCATCTCTAAAAGAGCCTGCCTCTTCTGATTGGCCATCAGACATCTTTATTTTGGAGTCTTGTCCTGGAGCAGTTATCACTTGTAGACTGATTTGGAGACTCAATATTTATTTTATTTTTGCCTCTCCCTAAGGCAGATCTAAGATTTATGGTCTTTATGTTGGTATTTTGTGTATTATAGTTTGTAAAATGCATCCACAGAGGGAGGAAAAAATCAGACATAGTCACTATGAACCATTGGCGAAAATTTGGGACCTGTCATCCTCCCCCTACACCATGTCTTCCACCTTCCGTAAAATAGCCTATATTTTAAAATCAAAATTTCTGAGCTCAGTTTGTCAAGTTTTTAAAATTATACTCCAGACCACTCAGTACAGAAAAGAAAAATGAGGAGTTGTGCCTCCAGTCCCATCAAAATGATCTTGAAATGTGCCACATAATCTGGTTTTTAAGTAAGATTGTCTCCAGAGATGCTTTCCAAATTTGGCAAAACTTCATGCGGCTTCCCTGGCAGTATGTAAGAACATTAACAAACTAATTGTATTTCTATAGATATTTTTGGCCCACGATATTTTAAAGTAACCTGCCAGAAGTATAAGTGCTAAAATTTATATAACATGAACTAGAAACATCTGGTAATTCATATATACTTCCATAGTTGTAAGGAAACATAAAAATGTGAATGCCATTTCTTTTAAGCTGGGAATAAAACGCTTAACCTCCTCCATCAATTGTAGAACCATAGCATCCCCTTGTGGTATTGTTGGTAACTGCATGAAAACTCAAGATCTATTTACCCTCAGGATTTCAGGCAAATTCTTTCTAATCTTGATGTCAAAGAAAGAGTTAGAGTAATCATCAGTAGTTTAATTCTGTTGTTTGAAAAGTCTCAAAATAGATATAAATGTCTTTTCAGTTGTAATTTTTACATTCGAAGGTAAGATTCAAATAATAGAAAAAATTACTGGGTTTTCTTTTTTATACATGATTTTAGACTAGATTAATATTTGATATGATTTGACTTTCTAGTTTGTTAATTTTGACACCTTTTGTTATCAAACTTTTTTTTTGGTCTAATGTTTTTAACGTATCTTCTTAATTTTTGAATTTAGAAAGTATAACAAGTCTCCTATCTTCAGAAAAAAAATCCCATTGATAATGGTTTTCTTGATGGAACCAGAAAAACGTTCAAATATTAATAGAACTACCTTTTTATTCTCTCACTTATGTAGCATTATGTACAAAAAATTGTGCTTCGGGTTTGTCTACCTCAGTTTTAATTACACTGACCTTATGGTTAGCATTTTTTAAATGCTGATTTTTTTCTGTTAAGGGACTGTCAAAAGAGCTTACTCTTGAGAGCATAAGGATTCCTTTTATGCCTAACTGTGAATGAAAAATTCATGTGTAGAGCAACTGAGTGCTACTTTCCATTAATAATTTCCCTTTATCTCCTGTTTCTTATTCTTTAAAACTGAAATATTTCATTCCAAAACTGACAAACATACATTTTATATATATATTTGAGGTTTTTGTCTTGTTTTTGCTTAGAAAATTCAGATGTTCCTGAACTATTTAACAAATCTTGAGCCTTTTCTCTTTAGCTCTAGTTCATACAGGATTATTTAGTTCACAAGGATCCTTCGGGTAGTTTATTAAATTGAGCCTTTCTAATAATACTTTAGTCACATTTATATAGTTATACAAATAACTATCGATAGTTATTATGCATATAGTTAAGTGGTAATCGTTAGATACCATATATATAAATGTTACTTGTGTAACATTTACATGGTGTTTACGGTGTGTCAGGCACTATTCTAAGTGCTTTACTTATAAAACCTCTTTAGGGTTGTTTTAGGGTTTTAATGTGCTAAGATACTATTAATACTCCTTATTTGACAAATGAGGGAATAAGCACAGAGAAATTGAGCAACTCGTCCAAGATCAGAGAGCTAGGATTTGAACCAAACTGTCTGACCCCAAAGTTTGTGCTCTTTACCAATGTACTATAAGTTTGAACTTCAGCATATTTTTTTATGTGTTTAAAACTCAAAAACATTCTCTGTTTTAAGCCATTAGCAAAGGTTTGAATGCCCCTTGCTTATACAATATTATTTAAAAGAGAATTGGAGAGGTCTCTACTCATTTAAAAAATCATCTGTCTTTTCAAGGGATGGGCAAAACAACATGTTCTGAAATTTTGTATTTTTTTTTTTCAAGTAGACATAGATGAGATACTTTGTGGAGATTTCTTATCCTGCAAAGAAAATCCAAGAAAACAAGTTTAGAAAGTGTGGCAGGAGTGGACCCTTCTGGAGTTCTTAAGCATCCAAAAACAATGTATGCATAAAAATGAGTAATTGGCATAGCACTGCCCTAATCCTCTACATAGAACAATGCTATGTTAAGACTGTAGGCCCGGTGTTTTTGAGTTTTATGAGAGAGTAAAGAGGGATGTTAAATCCCTTCCCCAGTTATTTGGAGCTAAACGAATTAAAAGTTATGCTCTAAGCAAAATTTCTATAGAACAAACCAAAACAGAGTTTGTTTTGACTGTAAAGTCTGGAGACCTGTTTAAAATGGATAGAGATGGTCCCAGAGAGGCAGAACCAGTTGTAACTGAATAAGCAGTAACACAAGTAATGTTACTCTACTGTGCATGGAAAACACTAGTTCAATAGAAGGAAAAGATTCATCTAGAGTAGTAAAAAAGGATTCCAAAGAGGTAGGCATGGTACTGCCTATTAAAGCACAATTGAGAGGGAAGGGGATTATGGTCCAGAAGAATTACTATTTCCTTGGCAAGACTATTGTCTTAGCTATTGTCTTAGCTGAGAGATTCTTAAGGCTGCGTAAAACTCCTTGTTATGCCTCTGTACTCAACACAACACCTTTTGATAATTTACCTTTCCAAATAATCTACCACCAGGTAAAAAAAAAATACAGCGAAAGATATAGATGAAAACATTATGGTAAATGGTGATAATTGTTGTAACCAAGTGATGAGCACGTGGGAGTGGTAGTAAGAAAGGGTGTTCATTGTTATTATTCACTCTTCTCCCGACTTTGGTGAGCATTTCCATAATAAAATGCATGGGTCACTTAAAACTGCAAATACTTATACCACTTGACTGTATTTCTTTTCATAAATTTAATAATTAGCCTACATTCAGGTGCATCTTATTTTTTTGGGTCGCCCAAGCTGGAGTGCAGTGGCGCTATCTTGGCTCAGTGCAACCTCTGCCTCCTGGGTTCAGGCAGTTCTCGTGCCTCAGCCTCCCTTGTACTGGGATTACAGGCACCCGTCATTGTGACTGGCTAATTGTTGTATTTTTGTAGAGACAGGGTTTCACCCTATTGGCCAGGCTGGTCTCAAACTCCTGACCTCAGGTGATCCACCAGCCTTGACCTCCCAAAGTGCTGGGATTACAGGTGTGAACCACTGCACTTGACCTTCAGGTTCACTTTAGATGTGCTGATAAAATGAAGTCTCTGAATTTGCAAGGTTGCAGAACATGCCCTGGATTGCGAAAAATTGGCCAAAGTTTCAATTGTCAGGATGCTTAGTCATGAACAAGCTAAACTTCCTGATATGGTTTGGCTGTGTCCCCACACAAATCTCACCTTGAATAGTAATCATCCCTAAGTGTTGAGGGTGGGGCCAGGTGAAGACAATTGAATCATGAGGTGGTTTCAAACCCCGATACTTTCCTTGTAGTAGTAAGTCTCACAAGATCTGATGGTTTTATAAATGGGTGTTCCCTTGCACGAGCTCTCTTGCCTGCAGCATGTAAGACGTCCCTTTGCTCTTCTTTGTCTTCTGCCATGATTGTGAGGCCTCCCCAGCCATGTGGAACTGTGAGTCAGTTAAACCTCTTTCCTTTATAAATTATCCAGCCTCGGGTATGTCTTTATTAGCAGAATGAGAACAGAGTGATACACTTCCCTTAGAGGTACTTCTCAGTCACCTTTGCTAACAGATTTTTTTCTAGTTATTTCATTGGCCTTATGTTTATATCACTATTTCTTAAATCAGACAGTGGATGTTCTGAAGATTGATCTTCCAAGACAGGAATTCGTCTTTTGTGGGGTAGTGATGTAATTTCTTCTTACATTAACCGTCCCTTCATCCTTT